AGTAACTTAGACTGAAATGTTTAATATAACAACTATAGATGAAATATATAGGTGGCAGATTTGGCTCATTATTTGGCAACAAACTGGTCAGTTTTGTCTCTCTGTTACCCTTAATTAATGCATAATAAACAATTAATTATTCATAAAGCATTTATAGAGGAATTAATAATGTATCTATAAACTTTATTAGCCAAGGGGAACCTTATTGTAAATTGGTACCAAATAAACATATCTATGAGACATGCTTATTTGATTACAATACAATATTAAGGGGGAATAAATGTGCAAATTCTTAATTTTATTAGCTTCTAATTTGAATTAATATCCATACTTTTTATCAAAATAGATTGTTTTCAAATAAATTATATTGTTTGCAAAAGAAAATTGGTGGAATTATTTGGTATTAAACATAAAAAGAGTCAATTTAATTACTTTTGTTTTCCCCATATATTAAAACTAACTAGAGAAATTGCTTTTCCTGCGAAAATGTAGTGTGAATGCTTATTGCTGAACTTGCTGAAAAACTGCTGAAATGAGCTGAAAACATGCTGAAATGTAGCTGAGATGGAAGAACAAGTCTAACTTAGCAGAAGAAGGCAAAAAGAACACATATGTTGAATTAGGTTTAAATAGGGGGAAATGAGCACAAAAATTAAGAACTTAGCTAAAAATGACTGAAAAGCAGCTGAAAATGCAGAAAGAAGCTTAAATTATCAGAAGGAAGTAGAGAGCACACATTTTTGCTGAACTAGGCTGAAAAAGTTGAAATGAGTGCAAACAATGTGAAATTAGCCAAAAAGGCTAAAATTTGCATAAAACAGCTAAATGGTAGCTGAAATAACTGAAACTAGCAAAAAAAAGCTGAAAGGGGCATAACAAGCTGAAATTAGCAGAAAGAAGTTAATTAGGCTGAAAGTAGCAGAAATAACCCTGAAACACTTGATTTATCTCAAAACAATTAAAATAGCTGAAAAGGTAAAACATGTTTAAATTAGCATAAGAAAGCAGAAAGAACTGTTTGCCCAATTAGGCTGAAATCAGAAAAGAAATTAGCACAAAACTGGGAATTATCTGAAAAAAGCTGAAGTTAGCAACAACAAAAAAACAGCTGAAAAGTAGCTAAAAAGCAAAAAGAAGCTGAAATTACAAGCCAGGAGTGGAGAAAGCACATTTTTGCTGAATTATGCTGAAAAGGTTGAAATTAGTCCAAAAATGTCTGAAAAAGCTTAAATTAGCATAAAACATATATATAGTAGCTAAAATAGTAAAAAAAAAAAAGCTGAAACTTGCAGAAATAAGCTGAAAGGAGCATACCGGTAAACTGAAATTAGAAGAAGAAGTTAGAAGAAGCACAAAAATGCTGTATAGAAGAAAGAATCTGAAAGGAGCACAAAACAGCTGAAATTAGCTGAAAGATGCAAAAAATAAATAAATAAATTTGCACAAAGAAGCTGAAAGAAGCCGAAGCAGAACAAAATGCGAAAGGAGCAGTAAAAATTGTAAACAGATCTAAAGATATGAAGGATGTAAAATGAGCTAAATTCAATTCATACGAGAAAAAAGCGGCATAAAATGCTAAATATTTCAAAATCTAAAGCTGCACCAATACTAAAAGTCATAGCACCCTTCTCCTGAATGAGCTGAACATTTTGATTTGCGATTTGTTGAAATAGATCGAAGACTGAGACGAGAATCACACCAAAAAATGTCTGGAAGAAGAATGCATTACAATAGTGTAAATGCTTCATAAACATTCACACAACAAAGAGCACCAAACACTGAATATTACAACTTTTGTTTTGAACATTCAGTTCCTTTTTGCTCCATGGTGTTAAACAGCTGAACCTGAACCTCAGTTCTTGTCGGCTGAGTTCTGTACGTACGTCTTAATGTATGGTTAGAGATAACGCTGAGCGCTATCTGGACACGTGGGAATAAGTTAGCAGCTGGTGAGGACACATTAATCATTAGACGGCTGTCTGATGCAACACCACCCGGCTCAGGTGGGAAACCACAGCAGCTGGCTGAGCTCAGGTCTGAATCAGGGTTTTAAGGAAGTTGTCATCAGAAGAATTATAACAAGGCAGAGGGAGGAAAAGCATCCACTGGGATGTTACCAGCAGAAAATGTATCAGTATTTAATCAAAGAACAAAATAAATATCCAAGTATCTGGCTTCAACCTTTAAAATGTGAACAATTACTTGTGTCGAAGCCAATTAAATATATCTGAGGTATATTCATTCTGTTTTGATTTATAAACACCAGAAATAATCTGACGACTTAAGGATGTGTATTCTTATCCATTTGTTCAGGGCGACAGAGAGTTGGTGCTTATCTCCAGAGGTCAGTAGACAAGAGGAGGTTAATAAGTAAAAAGGAAACAAAAAGGAATCCCTTTAAAGGCTCGTCAGAATAAAAAGGTCTTCAGCTGCTTTTTAAGAATGAACACGGTCAATGCATCATAAAAAGATGAGGAGCGACTGCTCGGGACCCAATCAGGTTTTAAATCAAGTTTAGTTTCTGCTTTGAAAACCAGAGGGTACGAGATGAACAAGGCTTCGACAATTCATAAAGATCAGGAGTTTGGCTGCGAAGACCCCTGAGAGTTAACGCCAAAGTTTAAATATACTAGGACACATTAAATCACGTCAAGTGCGTAACGGCTGAAGATGATCAGTCTATTTTTTTTTGTTTGTGTTAAAAAGGTAAAATGGAATAATCTAAATAAGAGAAAATAAAAGTATGGGTGATCATCTGTTCTGACACTACTGATTTAGAAATGTTCTCAAAATTATGTTTTTAAAATAAAGTTTAGCATGCATCAGCATAGTCCTCGAAGACTTGGTGCAACAGGTCACACTTGAGTACGTGTTGAGAATAACTCACACAAAGATTCAACATCTGTAACATCAACCAGATTCAAATCATTTTTGTTTCTGAGTTCAGTCGGCTGTGGCAGCCATCTTGAATCAAACTGGCTCCAAATGTGTATTCAATACAGTTCAGGATAATTTCCTGAAAGTTCCAGTAAAATTAATCTAGTGGTTCATGGTATATTTTGCTAACAGCAGATAATAGTCAATGCCAAAGTTTAAACAAATACCTCTGCCTCAGCAGCGACTACATCAAATCTTAGCTCAACATCTGTCGAACTGAAAGACCCTTTTTCCTCGAATTGACTCGACAGCTGTTTCAATGGACAATTTGTTGTTTGATTAGTGGAACTGTGCTGTCAGGGTCAACGATCAGTCATTCTCATCACAATCTAATTGAAGATAATCGTTTTATAATCAATTCTAGACTCCTAACAGGCACTGAACGGACAACTTAAAAACGAAGAGACCTTCAAAGAGCTGGACGTCATCTGTAGAACAGTGGTTGATGTTAATGCTTAATAATTTGAGCGAGAGGGAGGATATTCGGTGAAAAAAAAAGAATTGGCTCCAAAACAGAACCCTGTGGGACCCCACGGGACAGTTTAGTTGTATCTGGTTTAGACAGAGTGAAGTCACAGAAGTAGGTTGAGAACACCTCTGAGATTTCCACGTGTTTATTGATGTTCAGTGAAGTCCAGGGCACAGCCGCTCCATCACAGAGACAAGTCTCATGTTCACACTTGAAGGGACGATTTAGAGCAACTGATACATCCAACGTTTTCGGACTGTAGAGAAAAAACATGTGTGTTGCCTGCTCCACCGGGCAGCCTGAAATGTGTGTTTAGGCATTTCTAACTCTAGACGATCAGTAACAGCTTTAAACTGTGATAACTCGCATATTGATAAAAAAAAAAAAAAAAAAAACTTAGTTCTGCTCACTTAACACGTAAAACAAGTTCAGCTGCTCAGTACTTGTAGATGTTGTCCTTCAAATGTTAAACATATTTTAACTAAAACATGGCAACTTGCCCATACGTTTCATTTTCATGCGTCGTTACCAAATCGGCAGCACTAAGTCACCCTGGGTACATTCAAACAGATTAAATATGTGACTCATGAACAACAACAAACCTGCGGCTCCGCTGGCTCACGTTTCAGATGCACAAGTTTCTCTGAACACTCGATTACTGCAGCGTGTTGACCAGAACTGTGTCACTTAATGTGCAAAACTTGATTTATATATTCGCCTGGACATTTCACGTTGTTTCTCTGCAAAATAAAAATGTGTTTTGCTTCCACCGATGAGCGTCCCACAGAGACCAGCGAAGGTCAGAGCAGGCGAGAGGCCACCTGGTGGTCCAGGAGGAGGAAAATATAAACAGGACCAACGATTGGAGATATTCACAAACCAAAGTTTATTGAAAGTAATACTTAAAATATCACTTTATTACAAAAAACGATTTGAGTGTTGTTTATAAACTACATTAATTAATTTATTGAAGAGGAGCATCGCTCCAAATGCAAGCAAAAATACACCATTTACAAACCAGGTACAGGGATACAAGCGCCACACATTTACTTCCTGTACCAGATCTTCAGCCTTTTCTCATTCTTGATTTTCTTCCTCAGCTGCAAAGTCCCGTAGAGGAGAGCCTCTGCAGTGGGAGGACAACCTGAGCGCAGAAGAAAATCCTTCATTAGAGTAAAAAAAAAAACCTGCACATTCTCCGGTCTTTCATTTATGTCCGTAATTAAAAACAATTACCTGATTATGTCAAATGTAAAACATCATATATTTTAATTTTAAAAAGCTTCAGGACTTTTTTATGATTAATTAATTACACCACTACTGATCAGACCTGGAGCTGCTTTCACAATTTTAATAAATTTAAGTTTTTATGTTCATTCTGGACAAACTTTAAATAGCAAACTAAACGATAAACTAATAATTCAAGTGGGATTATGTAACATTTACAAGAATATTTCTTTTAGTACAATTAAATGAAAAAGAGTTTGAGGTGGGGTAATTGTATTCTCAAGTCAGCTTTATTGCATTTGAATGTTTTTTTTTTTTTAAGGCAGCTTTTTTGTAAACAAAGGTAACAATTTACAAGAAAATGGTTCATAAAAGTGAAAGTAAAATAATAACTGAAATGCTCACTTGAGTAAAATTATGGCTTTTGTGAAAAACGGTTTAAGAAGGAATCTAAAAATGCTCAGACTCAGCTGATCTGAAATTCTCGAGCAGATTGATCAAGAGCTTTAGGGCGACTGCAAATCCTCTTTAGGAACACAAGAAACTTAGCCATAAAAACTCTTCCAGCCCAGACCTGGTGTGGTGGGAGCAAAGCGTCTCACGTACAGCTGAGATAAAGCCAGTGAGCCTCGAAAGGCATCAAACTCTTTTAAGAGCCTTAATCGCACAGATCACAATAAAACAAACTCTACCTGGAACATAAATATCCACTGGGACGATCCGGTCGCAGCCTCTGACCACAGAGTAGGAGTAGTGGTAGTAACCTCCTCCATTAGCGCAACTACAAGTGCAAGAAGAAGCATGTTATGCAGATTTTCAGACCATTTAACGAATCAGGAAGAACAAAATTAAGAGGAAAACATTTAAATATTAAAGGTTCAAGGATTCAAGGTTCTTTATTTGTCATTCGCACCACATGTGGTACATATGGCGGAACGAAATTGTGTACACAGGGTCAGAGTTACATCCAACTAAAGTATTAAAATGTAAAAGGAAAACAGTAATAAGATGTGAACTAAGAAAAACGTTAAACTATATATACGCTAAGCACTAGTAATATAAAAACAATACGCCGAACAGCAGCACGAACATGAGTCTGTGTGAGCAGATGAGCACGAATGAGCACAGCAACATGAAACAGATCAGCAGCAACATGAAACAGATCAGCAGCAACATGAAACAGATCAGCAGCAACATGAAACAGATCAGCAGCAACATGAAACAGATCAACAACATGATGTGATTTTTCTCAGTGATTATTCTGGTTAGAGATTCATGAGTCTAACAACTTCAGGGTAGAAGCTGTTCCTCAGTCTAGTGGTTCTACACTTAATGCTCCTCAACCTCCTGCCTGAGGGGAGCGGAGCAAAAAGTGTGTGTGCTGGGTGAGTGGGGTCCTTCATGATGCAGGTGGCCCTCTTCCTGCATCTAGAGGTGTAAATGTCTGTGATGGTGGGGAGGCTGAGTCCAACAGACTTTTGTGCAGCCACCATATGCAGTATTTGTCTATTTTATCTTTTTTTTTTTTTTTTTACATTTTGTTCTTTAAATAGAGACTGCAAATTGTACAGCCCAGTTCAAATCTGAGGTGTAACATGAGTAAAAGACAAATTATTACACAGTGTCCCATTTCATTAATAAAAACAATGTAAGTAAAAGAGTTAGTTTGGACTTTTTAACATTTTTTAAACCGTTCTGAATTGATTTTGAGTGGTTTGAATGTGTGGTGAGCTCTGATGCCTCCGTTCTCAGTTGGAGGTAAAATGTTTAGTCGTGGGATGACAAAGTGTTTGTTCTGTGATCGACAACACATTACATATTACAGTGACCACAGCCCATCAGCTCTTAATGTCCACTCTACTGTCGGTGTGAGGTCACGTCAGTTCATTATTTAGAAGGAGTGTTCAGACTGCTGGACCTATCAGATCCAGGGGGTCCAGACCACCTCCAAAGGTGGTTTGAGTAAAAGCATTTTCAATATATATTGATGGAGGTCAGACCTGTAATTAGCACGATCTGATCACAATCAGATAACTAAAAACTTTTTCAGACATCGGATCTGAACCACCTCTAAATGTTTAACAGAAGAGCAGGAGGTCTGGGCAGAAAGCTGTTTTCTTTAATGTTGCAGAACACACAGATCCATTTTTCTTTATCGTTTGCCTTTATTGAAAATCAACAAAATGATGACTACGCACGTTTGCTTTTTTTACACTTCCTTCACCTCTAACAAAACCGAGTTGGTTTTAAGATCAACGTACCCGAACACTATCAGAACAACAGCTATGATATATTAAATATTCAAATGAGAGCAACACCACAAAAATAAAGCGTTTTATTTGTGCTGGCTCTCATTTGTGACATATGTTTTTATTACTGAACCGTGTTCTCTCTTTTCTTGTTTGCAAAATAAATAATTCATAAATCAGTTCTTTGTTTTCATTCAACACAAACCATCTGCTCAACAATTTAAACACATCTACTTCGGTGTAAGTAATAAAAGCTCTCACTTGGATGAATGAAAGTGTGTTTATGTGAAATGAACAACTTCATATAATGTTTCTTGTCCTCACAAATAATTTAAGACCATTGATGTTAAAACTGGGAGATTCTATAAGTTTGATCAAGAATCTGTTTTCTGGATTAGAAAAAAATATTAACAAAAGAATTGGACCTGGGCCAAATGGCCATTTGAGCTCAAATTCAAAAAATAATTAAATCATAAAAGAGTAAACTTACCTTCCCATGGAAATGACATATTTGGGCTCCGTCATCTGGTCATACACCTGTTGGATGGAAGAAGTTGTTTAGTTGTTGTTATAGAAGTCTGACTGAGCTAATCTGTAGATTCAGCTGGAGAAAAGCTTCCCGCTTGTCTGCCAATCCATCGACAGGCTGGTCTTAATCCAGCCAGCTTTAACACAGCTATACTGTCCCCAACGCTCCCATCTTGCACACAGAAATGTTTGACTGACATCTCTGTCAGAAATGACAGGCTGTAAACAAAAACACATCTCACTTTCAACCTGCAGTGGTGACCAAACCCAAGACAGCAGTTGTTGTGTTGAATCAGTTAAACTGTATAGTACAAGATGGTGACGACTGTTGCTCCTAACTAGTTATGACAAATTTATTTTCCCTCCTCTCACCCTCCGCAGGGCTGGTGCCATTTTATTGGTCAGCGTTCCTGCTACGATCATGACATCCGCCTGCCGAGGACTTGCTCTGAACACGATTCCGAAGCGGTCCATGTCATAGCGAGAAGCAGTCATGTGCATCATCTCCACTGCACAGCACGCCAAGCCGAAGGTCATAGGCCACAAAGACGACTGGAGGAAAATGTACAAGAACAAAATAATGAAGAAACAAAGAAAAACTATCCAAAAGACAGTTAAAAATTTAACACCAGAACTGGGCTGTCAAATTTGTTTTAAAGTCTGAAAATTGCCTTTTAAGTGAACAAAACCTCCCACTTTGTGCCTCCTGAGTGACAGGTGACAGAGTCAAATACTAAAAATTAAGTGGCACTTAAAAATGTGAACACCAGCCGTCACCAAGACAACAGTCCACATTTCTTTGAACAAAAGACTTAGTTTTATTTCCAGTCACGACTTCAAATCAAACAACCTTAAGGGCACGACATACTCCATCCGAAGCAGAACGGTCAACTCGCGGTTGTTTTCGCACACACCTTTCGTAGTCCACGAGACACATGGAGCAGAGCTCCTGAGAAACACCCCCTGTAATATGTCACCACAAGTTTCTTCCCACCAGTCTCTCCACTCTGTCCCTGCATCCGCCATTGGCCACAAATCAATTATGAAGAAAGCGCCGCACTTTTCAGCAGACAGACTCCTCCATACGTCTGCATGATCTCCATCCAGGAGTTTCTGGCCATTTGACCAATTTTGTGCTTTAGTCATGCAGCTGAATGTCCGAGCGCATTTCCACATTGACAATCACTCAATTCTTGGCGCATACGTCGGTGAGAAAGAGTTCAGTCCAGGCCTTTTGTCAAGAAGGGGCGAGCGAAGCTGCTCTGCAAACAAAATGACACAATTTTCGTCACATAGCTGCGACGAGAGCCAATTTCGGCACTTCAGATGGAGTATGCAGGGCCCTTTAGTGTCAACTGCACAAATGAGTATGTTAAGCGTGAAAGCATCAAAACGTGTGAATTTGAACACAAAAACTATCCTCTCAGTACACACACTGCGTCCCCAGTTCAACAGGTCATCCAGCTTTGCCACGATATATTCCCCTCTGCTGCTGGCCACGGCTGCTGGTTTGGCTGCTGCCACTGCTGTGCTCTTTTCTCTGACGGGCACCAAACTGAAACAAAGGACAAAACTTTTACCAAGAGCTTTGTGACGGCTGAATGTCTGTTACAGCCGTGTTTAGTTAAGCTCACCTCGCGCTCGTATGATCACTTTTAGCACTTTTGTGCAAACTCCTAAGCTGAATGGCAAACACCGAAATGGACCTATCAGAAAAGAGTGAAAGAGAGAGAGAGAATAAACAATTAAATTATTGTATAAAAAGCTGAAATTAGCTGAAATTCTACGTGTAAAAATCAGCCATCAAACATTAAAAAGAGCACCAAAGAGTTTCAACAGAAGAAACGTTTGTTATAACATGATGTGAAAAATACGTTTGTGTTAATTTAGGAGGAAGATGCTAATTTTGTCTAAGTGTCTAAACTTGATGCAGTAAAGTGTAACAAGGAAGTAAAGAAGCTGAAAAAAGAGCAGATGTTTCTGTCTTGCGTTTCAATGTGAATTAAAATACTGGGCTATTTTGATGGAAGAAAAGTGTAAACATACACAACAAAACACACATTACTGTAGCAGCTGTAGCTTCAACAAAGTTTAACAGCAAATGAGATTAGGAGGTGTTTACCTTGTTGACAAAGAGCCAAACAAGGCCAGGTGAGGTGCTGCAAAACAAAAACAGTTCAATAAAACAAAACATTAAACAAATACAGCAGGGATGGTACAATATGAACGCAATGAACTATTTTTAATTGCTAGATCTAGACATAACTAGCCCATAACAACAACAATTAAAGCTGCAAGCAGCGTTGAAGGCCCTCGCAGCGAAGCGCCGCTGCGGCCTTACGGCGACCGCGGGAACTCCAGCGACTCTTCCCGGTCCCCATCGAGAACGCTCACGCTACCGTCCCGCGTCCGTTCACCGGAGTGCGCATTCGCCTAACCTTTGGCATCAGCTGCGACCGCAGATATAACTGTTGTAAAAATGTAGGGGGCGCACTTGAGTCAAAAGTAAAATACCAATACCATATGTGTATAAGTGCTCACTAATGACGCACCAAAAATCTGGTTCAGATCGGATTTTGTATCACTGAGATATAACTGATTAAATAATCTAGGGGGCGCACTTGAGTCAAATATTAAACAACAATATCAATGTGTCCATCAGTGCTCAATAATGACGCACCAAAAATCTGGTGCAGATCGGATGATATATCACTGAGATATAACAGTTTGAATAATCTAGGGGGCGCACTTGAGTCAAATATTAAACAACAACAACGTGTGTAGACATGGTCACACATTATGCCACAAAAATCTGGTACAGATCGGATGAAACATCATAGAGATATAACTGATTAAATAATCTAGGGGGCGCACTTGAGTCAAAATTTAAGAAACAATACTAATGTGTCCATCAGGGCTAAATAATAATACACCAAAAATTTGGTGTAGATCAGCTGATATATCACTGAGATATAACTGATTAAATAATCTAGGGGGCACACTTGAGTCAATAGTTAAAAAACAATAGTAATGTGTCCATAAGTGCTTACTAATGTCGCTCCAAAAATCTGGTGCAGATCGGATGATATATCATTGCGATATAACTGTTAGAATATTGTAGGGGGCGCTCTAGAGTCAAAAATAAAAAAAACATTATAAATGTGTCCATAAGTGCTTACTAATGAAGCACCAAAAATCTGGTTCAGATCGGATGATGTATCACTGAGATATAACTGTAGGAAGAATGTAGGTGGCGCTGTGGAGGCTCTTGGCCACTTATCATGGAAACCTGTTCAAGGGGTGGATAATGATCGATCATAGTGATTTTGGTTCACCTGGGCTCAAATCTGTGCAATTTAAAGCCAAACGCATTGTAACGGCGTCACTTTTTAATTCGCCATGGCGCCACGCCCACATCCTCCAGCTATAACTATTTGTAGTTTAAATCAAGTCAGACCATCTTATCTGTCTTCTAACACAGGATCATCCTGATTAGGTGAAGGGTGTCAAAGAAGGAGCATTCCAATTAAAAAAAGACTTCCTGTTCTGAGGGGGCGGGGCTTTGATGACATCACAATATGACGACAGTAGATCGTTGGACATCCAACAGGGACGAGTCATGGCAAGTTTGGCGTATTTCTGTCTTTCAATGTGAAAGTTATAGCGTTTGGAAATTTATGGCGTGAAGCTCAACTTTGAGGCCTGGCCACGCCCCTTTAACAAAACGAAACCGAAAGCTTTTGATAACTTTTACTCTCCAATGGCTTAAAGGCCTATTAACCAAGTTTGAAGGCAATCCTTCAAAATCCCTAGGAGGAGTTCGTTAAAATTTGCCATTAAAAACGTCCAAAAATTAACTTTTGACCCAAAATGGCTGACTTCCTGTTGGCTTTGGACCGGGGCTCCAAGAGACTTTTTCATAGGTCCTGAGAAGATGTACATGTTCACTGAGTTTCAGAATTATCGGTCGAAAAATGGCTTGGGGCTGAGGTTTTAAATTATTCTAGGGGGCGCTATAGAGGCTATTGGGCAATTATCATGGTTTCCTGTTCAAGGGGTGGGCAATGATCGATCATAGTGATTTTGATGAACCTCAGATCAAATCTGTGGAATTTAGAGCTAAACGTATTGTAACAGCGTCACTTCTGAATTCGCCACGCCACCATGCCCACATCCTCCAGCGGAAACGCTTTGTGCTTTAAAGCAAGTCAGACCAACTTGTTATCTGCCTTCTAACACAGGATCATCCTGATTGGGTTAAGAGTGTCAGGGAGGGAGCATTCCAAGCAAAAAAAAAAAAATCACTTCCTGTTCTGAAGGGGCGGGGCTTTGATGACGTCAAAATTTGACCACAGAGTATCGTCGGGCATGGGACAGGGATGACTCATGCCAAATTTGGTGCAATTCTGTTTTTCAACGTGAAAGTTATAGCGTTTGTAAATTTATGGCGTGAAGCCCAAATTTGAGGCGTGGCCACGCCCCCTCAACATGCTTCGGTTTGCACCGTTTTGATAACTTTTCGTCCCCCATGCCTTCTGAGCAAAATGGTGAAAGCTTGAAACCGATTGAGCAAAATCCCTAGGAGGAGTTCGTTCAAATTCGCCATGTACGAAAAGTGAAAAACGGCCAAAATTGACCCTTTGACCCAAAATGGCCGACTTCCTGTTGGGTTTAGGGCATACCTCCAAGAGACTTTTTTTCATGTTTCAAAGGGTTCTACCCATGTACCAAATTTCAGCTCTACGACTTACCAGTTGTCATATCTCACGTTAGGGGACGCAGTGGAGCAGTTTGGCCACGCCCACTTTTGGTTCCATTAAAATACTAAAATTTCTCGCGGGGGACAATTTTGGGTAAAGTTTGGCTAGGTTTCCAATATGTTAACCCCTCCAAGTAAGCACTTCTTGTCGGAAAAGAATAACAACAACAAACAGCACAATTACAATAGGTCTTCGCAGCGCTTAGCTGCTCGGGCCTAATAATAATGATCACGTTACAAGAACCTTTAAAGGAAACTTTACGCACAACAGCATGAGCATGTGAGCAGCTGGTTCTGGTTGTCAGCAGCAAAACTGGTTGATCCACTCTGAGAAGGTGCTATTTAAGAGACTGAGCTGAATACAGCACCTCAGACTGAGGAAGTCTCTCGGATGAGAGACGAAACGTTTCTACATTTTTTTTGTTGTTTTGCTTTATTTTGTTTTTTTGAATGTCCAGATTTAACTTTTTTAGATTTCTCTACCTGGATTATTGAGCATGCATCAGGATATTTACGCACAACATATCTTAAGAAAAAGTGTGGAGCAAGTAAACAGTCAACTCAAAATAGCAGCACAATGAATTAAGAAATAGCCGAATTGTATAACTTTAGATAAGTTACTAACGTCCTAAATGGCAATAGCTGTGACATGAGAATTTAAAATATGTTTCAGAAACCTTAAAACTAGAAGACTTTTCCCTGGAAGTTTGTTTTCACTGCGCAGCCGAGAATGTGTTGCGCAAGAAGCATTAGCCCCATGCGTTTGGGGGTTAACCCCGTGAAAATATAAAATATATTTATTGCACGACAACCACTCTGCTTATCTGAAATATACTCGTTGCATTAGTTGGGTACTGTTGCTTGACAGCTGCAATCATTATAGCGTGAGGGTTGCTGTGTTTTGTGTTACTAGCTGACGTGGTGAGCAGCTATGCTAACAACACAGCAAGGTCAGCATACGCATTTAACGAAGATTTCAAATACGACTTCAGACACAGCCAAACTATCGTTTGCCACTTTTTTACCCATTTTAAAATAAGCGTAGCATCACAAGTCCAGATAATAATTATTATTCAACCAAAAAAAAAAATACGTTTACAGTACTGGATCAAAAACACTTACCCACTAACAGCGCCATCTTGGATATCTACCTCTTCCGGTTTGAGTTGAAACTGCTGCCTGGTGATGGAGTGAATATTTTACAGAAAATATCAAAGTGTTAGCACGAAACGATAATTTTGTTTAACTATATATTAAAATTCTGGCAAATTAATAAGTAAACAACAAATAAAATATGAACCTATTGTGAAAAATTAAGATAATATTGACGTGAACCTGCATTTTGTCTTATGACCTGCAGGGGGCGACAAAGGAAGATGCAATGGAATAAACTGAGCGCCTCAAATCAAAGAGTTGAAACAATAAAACACTGAAATCAGCCTCTATAGAAATGTTATCTACTGTATATTTAGGGAAAACCTAAGATTTGAGGTTACAGTTTGTTTATTGAGAAATATATCTTAACATATTTATTGTGTATTGGAAATAATTCAGCACATTTCAAGTAGTATTGGTCTTTTTTATTATACTGTATGACTCATGTTCGTGCTGCTGTTGTTCGGCGTGTTGTTTTTGCACTATTAAGTGTTTAGCGTATTCTTAATTTAGCATATTTCTTAGTTCATATCTTAGATCCTATTACTGTTTTACTTTTTCAATTTATACTTTTGTTGGATGTAACTGGGACCCTGTGTACACAATTTCATTCCACTACGTGTTCCACATGTGATGCGAATGACAATAAAGAACCTTGACCCTGATATTCAGTCAGATATTTTAAACAGCATACACTACACAGAATGTGCATGAGTATTTTTGCAAAATAACCTTTAATGAAAGTAATTCTGTTTTTTTACTAAAAGGAAGGAAGACTAGTTTGTGCAACCCTGTCCAACAGAGGTGACCAGTGGCCTGGCTCTACTGGTTTTGCTGCTCTCATAAATGTTGTCATAACAAGCAATTTTACAGTATTTTCACATTTAAAACACAAACCACTTGTGTCTCCTGAGTGTGACACAGTGAATGTTACGTTTTTCTATTAACTAACTGGAAACTTCATGTTCAGCTGTTAAATGTTCACACACAGCAGAACATTTAGTCAAAAGTCAAACATTGGGTTGAGATGAAATATTGTTTACAGCAGTTGTGTTCTGGATGAAGATTTGGACAAACCTTAGCAACAAAACTGCAACTGAACTTTGAACATGACAACAGATTGCTTACTTTAGTGCCTTTTCTACAGTGATTAGCACAAAATAATTTGATGCTGCAATCAGTTTTAGATTGTATTAACATACATTCTGTTATCAGTAAAAGTACAAGCTGTACTATCAAAGTAAACATACTTACAATGAGTGAAATAAACATTTTAAATGGCTGCCTGGTTGATAATTGTTTTGTTGTTTAGCTCATCAACTTGTGAGCAGAAACATAAAGTACGCAGGATCATGTTGACAAATGTGAAGTTGCTTTTCTTTTAATATAATGAAAATAATTTATGATCATCTTTCATGGTCAAGACCAAAGTACTTCAAGGATAATGCAGTGTAGCAGACTATCAATTAATTTAATCAATAATGTACTCAACGTTTCACTGCGTATTTTCTGTTTTCAATTATCTGTAATGTTATTCTTGTTAAAGCACAGTGGGTAGATGTGCATGAAATGTGCTTTACAATTAAAGTTAGACTTGACTCATTTGTTTCCAAAAATAAATTCAGTTTCACTTGACTTTGAGGTCGTGGCTCAAAGGAACTCTTGTAGGAAAAGTTTAAAATTTGCTTCATGCTGAAGTTTCAGAAAAAAAAAAAACTTTAAACTAAACAAACACCAAAAGAATAAATATGTATATTTTTAGTTGCTGTGAATATATCACCACAGACAGGTTGTGGTAGGAACTTTTTCAGGAACAAAAAAGAATTTATAAAAATTAAAAAAAAAACTTCTGTTCAGCTGTTTATTGTTGTAATTGTTTTTAAAGATGACAAATATAGCTTGCTTTTATTGTGTAATACTGCTCTGCGGGACAGGACGCCAAGTTAAAAGCAAAACTGCACTCTCGCTAATTACAATAACTAAAAATACACTGTAATTAAAAAGGAAAAAAGAAACCTAATCCCAGAATTTAGGCTGGGAAATTTTTAACTTGATGAGGTTCTTCAGTCAGTCAACTTCCTCTAATTACCGTAACTTAGACTGCTCATCAATCTGTCATCAACTCAGGGTCAAAACTAAACTATAAGTACTTCTTTTTTCTGTTCGAGCTTCTTTTCGGTGCCAAGAATCCCACAAATTGATCAGAAGAAGTGGAGGACAGCGGCAGGGAGGAGACGTATGAGCAACACTGAAAGTATGCTGTAAAAAGACAGTCGTACCACTAAATACACATTTCTGTATTTCTTTGCTAATTATTGTATTGACTTCCATTCATTTATGTAGCCTTACACCAAAAATAACCATTACTGTTACATCTAATCTAATCCTAAACTAACACACTTTAGCCCTAAACCTGAATAACAGTAACAGGCTTTGGTCAAAAGTAATGCTAGTTTTACCATTTTAGTTTACTGTTACTCTTTTACTTTTTGTCCTGTCAAGCATTTTTTTTATTTGACAATCAAAAAGTTTTGTATTTTTGCACATCTCCAACTCCATATTAACCTCCAACATAAATAATTAAATGTAATCTTTTTGTGGACTGAAAATTGTGTGTTTTCAGTTAGCGGACAAGCTAACTGAAATTGCAGAGCTTTGCCTTTCAACTCCATTCTTTCTTTACCACATCTGACCAAAGCAACGTCCACATTACTGAAGCCAAGACACCGATCCATTGATCCATCTCCCGCTCATGAACAAGAGGCTTAGATACTTGAACTCCTCCACCTTGACGCAAACACTCCCACTGGGAGTCTTTGGCTGGCACTGCACCTGTATCCACTTGGACTTAGAAGAGCCGACTCTCATCCCAGCCACGTGTGAAGTGCACCCTCCCCAGTGCACACTGAGGGTCTTGGCTCAAAGATGCCAACAGAACAATATAATCTGCATATACATAGAGAGAGGACCCTGAGGTTTACCAACCAGACATTCTCCTCTTCACAACTGTGCCTTGAGATCTTGTCCATGAACACACCAAACAGGGAACCTGGGAAGATTCTGGACAAGATTTAAGACAAGTACGAAGTCTGGAAATCTGTGCGGGACCTCACAGCAATGGTCTACAATCACATTCTTCTTAGAGGCACATTCAAACTGTCTCTTCTGAGGGCAGATGTTTGTTGAATTTGTTCGCTAAAGATGTGAAAGAAACTGATCGAACAATTATCATCCGATTTTGACATCGAGTGTCTGCATGTTGCTGTTAGAGGTTTAATTAGGAAGCTGCTTCTGGAATACACAGATGTCCAAGAGATCCGTGTTCAGCGTCCATTCATCGGCCCACTATCCTTACTGGGTTCGTGGTTTTTGGGTCACAGGTGCCGTGATGCTAAATCTTCACTCCGCGCCGCAGAGTCCTGCCGTGTGCAAAACCTTTGTGATTCAGATAATTCAACTGATATATGGCTCTGAAAATCTAGAAACAAGTGACCTTGCATCTGCATCCTCCAGTGTGAGATTGTTTTTGCAAACCGAGGATAGAAATGATTCGGATAGTTCAATTGATGGTTATGACTCTGAAAAGCAGTAAATGAACTTGCATCTGCCTTAATTACAAGACTCGTGAAAAAAGCCACCAAAGAATCAGGACAGGAATTGACAATAAATTTAGAGCATTTGATATCCACAATAGTGCATGAAGTGAATACAATTTATTCAGCTGTGCAAATCTGTCCAGATAAGATCGACAAATATGTAAAAAAAAAAAAAAAGTAACAAAAGATCTTTTTTGTATATACGGTACAGGTAAGATGCTTAGAGTAGCAATTAATGAAGATGAGAAATTTACTGAAAATCTTTTCATCTGTTTAAAATTTCTATTGAAAGGGTCTTCTCTACACCAGAGAATCTGCACCAGCAGATGGAATCAATGGGTGTGAATGGTCATTTGTCTCTATTTGGCCAGATGATGGACTTGCGACCTGTCCAGTGTGTCCCCCACCTCTCGCACAATGAGATATGACATGGGCACCAATGACCCCTGTGAACCGCAAAGGAAGAAGCGGGTAAAAGATGATGGATGGAAGGATGGATGGATGGATGGATGCTGAATAAAACAGCACAACAGCTCAATGGTTAACACTGTTGCCTCAAAGCAAGCTGGTCCTGGGTTCAATCCTCGGGTTGGACTGAGGGTCTTTCTGTGTGGAGAGTGCATGTTCTCCTCGTGTTTGAGTGCCTTTTCCCCAGGTATGCCGCTTTCTATCCCCCCAAAAAAGAAGTTTTTCTGCATTAGTGGCATGAACAGTTATGACTGAAAAAATATTCAATCTACACCAGTGAGAACAGCATGCAATCTCGACACAGAAAGACCCCCAGTCCAACCTGGGGATTGAGGGAGGATTCTCTACGCCAGAGAATCTGCACCAGCAAATGGAATCAATAGGTGTGAGTGAGGGTGTGAATTGTTGTCTCGTTTGTCTTTGTGATGGACTTGAAACCTGTCCAGGGTGTCCCCCACCATGCCCAACTCTGGGCCCTTGAGCAAGGCCTTTAACCCCCACCATCTGCTCCGCCTGGTGCCATACTCTGCTCCACACAGAGGGTTGTAGTGGCTTGGTGGTCTGTGGTTGAGTCAGGAAGGGCATCTGGTGCTCTGTGAGAGGCGGGGGACACCCTGAACAGGTCGTAAGTTCATCACAGGGACACATAGAGAAAAATCAGACAAACAATCATACACACTATCCTGATGCATGCTCAATAATCCAAGTTGAAAAATCCAGCAAAGTACAACTAACAAAGTTAAATCAGGTCATCTGGACAATAAAAAAAAAATACAATTAACAAATAAATAAATCTCCTCCTTGAATCACCACATTATTGTGGTGGAGGAGTTTGTGTGCCTGCATGATGCTAGGAGCTATACTGTCTAGGGCAATTTTAATTGCCCCTAGGGTTTCCCAAGGCAGATTGATTCTAGTTAACAGGCCATACATAGAGCAATTCAGAAGACTTGTGTGGACAAAAGAAAACAAGGAACTCGGTGTCCCTTGTCCAGACGTGGGTTACCGGGGCCCCACCCTTGAGCCAGGCCTGGGGGAGGGGCTCGTCGGCGAGCATCTGGTGACCGGATCTCTACTCATAGGGCCTGGTCAGGCTCAGCCCAAATGAGCAACATGGGTTTGCCTCCCTGTGAGCCCATCAACTGCAGGAGGGGCCATACAAGTCAGGTACATGAATCCATGGGCAGTGGCCGAAGGCAGTGGCCGAAGGCAGTGGCTGAAGACGGGGCCCTTGGCATACTGACCCTGGCTTACTAAAAAGCTGGCTCTTGGGACATAGAACGTGACCTCTCTGGCAGGGAAGGAGCCTTAGCTTGTGCGTGAGGTTGAGAGGTACTGACTAGATATAGTTGGGCTCACCTCGACGCACATCATGGACTCTGGAACCAATCTCATTGAGAGGGGCTGGACCTTATTCATCTCTGGAGTTGCCCATGGTGAGAGGCACCAAGCTGGTGTAGGTCTACTCTTAGTCCCCCGACTTGGTACCTGTGTGTTGGAGATTTCCCCGGTAGATGAGAGGGTAGCTTCCCTGCACCTTTGGGTGGGGGGATGGGCTCTGACTGTTGTTTGTGCCTATGTGTCGAATGGCAGTTCAGAGTATCCGGCCTTATTGGAGTTCTTGGCAGGGGTTCTGGAAGGTGCACCAGCTGGGGACTCTTTTACTCTGCTGGGGGACTTCAGTGCCTACGTGGGTAACAACAGTGTGACCTGGAGGGGCGTGAATGGGAGGAAGGCCTCTATGATCTGAACCTGAGCGGTGCTCTGTTGTTGGACTTCTGTGCTGGTCATAGTTTGTCCATCACAAACATCATGTTTGAACATAAGGGTGTCCATAAGTGCACTTGGCACCAGGCCGTCCTTGGTCGTAGATCGATGATTGACTTTGTAGTCATGTCATCTGATTTGCAGCCATTTGTTTTGGACACTCGGGTGAAGAGAGGAGCTGCACTGTCAACTGATCACCACCTGGGATGGAGAGCGAAGATGTCGGACAGACCCGCTAGACCCAAACGTGTAGTGAGAATTTGCTAGGAATGCCTGGCAGAAGAACCCGCCGAAAAGATCTTCAACTCACACCTCTGGGAGAGCTTTAATCAAATCCCAGCTGAGGTGGGGTACATTGAGTCCAAGTGGGCCATGTTCCGTGCCTCAATTGTTGAAGTGGCTGCCTTGAACTGTAGCCGCAATGTTGTCAGTGCTTCTTGTGGTGGCCATCCTTGAACTTGGTGGTGGACACCCTGGGTTAGGAAGGCTGTCAAGCTGAAGGAGTCCAATCGGTCCTTGTTGGCTGGTGGGACTCCGGAGGCAGCTGAGGAGTACTGGAGGGCCAAGCGGTCCATAGCCATGGCTGTTACAGAGGTAAAAGCTCAGATGTGGGAGGAGTTTCAGTGGTAGGCCTTGGATAAAGACTCTCGGTCGGCTCCTAGGAGATTCTGGCAAAACATCAGGTGGCTGAGGAGGGGAAAACAACTCTTTATTTAGGTCAGCAGCACACCACCTTCACTGAACACAGTGTTAGCACTGTGTTCAGTGAAGGTGGGGTGCAGTTGACCGCAATCACTGATGTCATTGGGAGGTGGAAGTAATAATCCTCGGACCTTCTCAATTCCACTGGGATAGGAGAGGAGGTGAGTGAATTGTGTGCATATTCTATTCATACTCTTGTTTGGTGTTTACTGGATTGGATGATTATAAGTCTTGCGAACCAAGATATATCTGTAATTTAACAGGGAACTTAGAAGCATGTGCAAAAACCATACACAGCCTCAACAGCCTGGCACAACTTCGTGCTGTTCACCAGCTTGGTCACTGCTGTGGGATGGCATCCCATCCTTCAATCAGCATTTGTTACAAGTTAATCAATGTGATTGTGTTGGTCACTCTGGAACAAACTGCTGAAGCCACGCTTGTTCAATTGTGTTATGGTCAGGACTTAATTCTCTCCACTCCAAAATTCTGGATGTAGATTCTGATAAACCCCACTCTATTTGGGGGGGGGGGGGGGGGAATTGTTGTCATATTGGTGTACAAAGTTCGGTCAAAGACTGTGGCAGTATGTGACCAGCTAGCCTGGCTAGCTCAGTCGGTAGAGCATGAGACCCTTAATCTCATATTTGTGAGTTTGAGCCCCACGTTGGGTGCCAGATTGTTGTGGCTTTTTACTACATAAATACTTAAATCATTAAATAAAGCAATTTGACACTTTGATTCTGGCTGACGGCAAACATCAAGGTTTATTTAAGACACTGTGGCAAACTGAACAGCTCAAAGACCAAACTAAAAAACAAACAAAAAATGATGGGACGAATCAAAATGGACAGCTCAGCACCTTGATGTGTGCTACAACTTTTATTAGCGTTTCGAGTTACTATGGCGACGTAATTTGCATTTGCATTTTAAGCTGAAATTTGGTATGGTGGTAGCCGAGAGCAAAACCAAACACATAATACGGTCAAATCAGAATTTTAAAATGGCCGCCACGTGGCTGTCCCCATCAAAGTTTCTCCAGGAACTTTCTAGTTTCATGACCCCTGACCTAGGGAGGTGCTTCAGGCATGTTTGACTGGGAGGAGACTCCGGGGAAGACCCAGGACACACTGGAGAGACTAGCTCTCTCGGTTGGCCTGAGAACAGCTTGGGGTTCTCCCAGAAGAGCTGGTAGAGGTGGCTGTGGAAAGAAATGTCTGGGCCTCCTTGTTCAAGCTGCTGCCCCCATGACCTGACTTCAGAATAAGCGGAAGATAATGGATGGACTGATGGATGAGACATTTCTCTAACAAAGTAACAAATACATGCACATAAACCTAAAAGGGAACAAACAGCAATATTTTTCCTTACTTAAAAAAATACATTTTTATCTAAACAATGTATAAACAGCAGCTGCAAACAAAAGTTTCTACTAATTTATCAAAAACATGTCCTTATTCTCCTCCTCCACAGAAGCTACATCAAAAGCTTGTATCAGCAGGGGTGAAGCCAGAGGGGTGGCTAGGGTGGCACTTGCCACCACTGTAAACCTGACTGACCACCCCAGGATCAACCCCAGTTGACTGACAAGTTACTGCATGTGGCATTAAAAAATATGAAATTGGAGTAAATGAGGAATGCAGAGTAAATGTCTGTCAAACAGATGTCTGACATGGAGAGGACCTATCAGTGAGATAAAGAAAACAATAACTTTTCTGAACTACTGAATTTATACAATACCATTACTGTTTGTGTGAGAGAGAGAAAAATAGAGAAATGCATATGGGTTATAATTGTAAATCGGGTACATTACTTAGGTAAGAGATTTGAGAAAGAAAACAGTTTCCTTGTTCGTCACCACTTGCATAAAAGTCTAACTCTGCCACTGTCCCATAAGGATTACTGGTCTGGGCCAGTTAGGTGATTATACCAGAACAGGTTTTAAGAACGTAACAAAAACCTGGTACAACACACACACTGTTGTCTCACCAGGAGAAGATGCTCAGGTAAAAAAGACGAAGCCAGAACTGAAAACTGGACAGAAATATATATGTATGTACAGTACATATACATGTATATACACTGTATATATACAAATTAACAAATATATCTGTAAAGGTTTTTAATCAGTCTTCACACTGTACAAAACTTCCTGGATTGTCACAACAGTAGAGAAGCCAACTTCAGTTTCTCTGTTTTTGTAAGGTTAAGACAAATGCAGCCATATTTCTAGCAGAGCTTTTGAGTAGTTAAATATAGGTACAGGAATAGCTTAAAGAGACAAATGTTTTATGATTACAGCATGTTTCAAAGGCACAACTGGCCACAGGCAGGCAGGGCTTGTGCCTTTCGGATAATAAGAGGAGCAGCGAGCCGAGCCGTCAAGTAGCTGGAGGTTGGAGTGGCAGCGGATGTAGCTGCGCTCAGCAGCAGACCACAGGAATGGCCTATTTTTGGAAAAGAAGAAAGCCTGGTTCTCCTTCTCACTGAGCATCCAGGATGTCTGTGGGTAGGACGTCTGGTTCACCACTCGAGCTCTGAGAAGTCTCCCCTGACCAGGAAGAGGGGGTGACCTGATTATAGAGGGCGTCCCCAGAGCCAAAGAGGGGCTCCTTGAGATTGAGGCTGTACATGAGGAACAGATTGAGAGCGACCATGGCGAGAAGCGGGAAGACGGTCAGGCCGGAGCCAAATCCTCTCCAGGAGCCGCACGTGTTCAGACTGAACCAGTAAACCAGCCTGTAAGAGACCCCCAGAAAACACCAAACAGGAAGTCAGCACAAGGTCAAAGGTTAAGCATTCAAAGCCTCCCTGATGGGGGGAGGCCAGGGTAATGGTCTGGAAATACTTCACTAGGCATAAAACATCAGATCTTACCGATATGATTCTGAGACTTTTATTCCACATGAAAATACTCAAAGAGAAACCGAGAAGTTCTGATAAAATCCACACGTCACACACAAACAGTAACTGCACAGACGCACGGTGGACAAAGAAGGATGTTTATTTTCAGCTGATGATGGAGGAGGTGGAGGAGCTTGTATTTCTGTTGTTAACTGAGAAGTGCTGTTTTATAAATTTGCCCACAAAGTTTTGACCAGTCACTCACTAAACGAATAACAGGGGACAAAGAGCAATACGGTCTCAACGTGGGGTGGGAGACGAGAAAATTGCAATTTTTGTCACGCAATTACGTCAGCGAGACACAACTTCAGCCCTTCTCATGGAGTATACATCAGGCTTTTTTCAACCAATAAACCAGGATTATTTTCATTATCGTGTCCTTCCAGACCAAAACTAACCGGGGTATCCATCAATGCCACAAAGGGTGCATGAAAATGTTTTTTGCCCGTCTGTTAGCAAAATATCTAAAAATAACCACTGTATAGATTTTAATTAGACTCTCAAAAAAGCAATAGCTGGATGTGCATCAACAACTGACTGACTTTTGGAGACGACTCAATTTTAGCTAACACAAAAATGGCTACAACTCAGTTGAGTGAAACTTTTGTGTGGTAGTAGCTGAGAGTTTTTCATAACATACCTTGAGCACTCACAGCTTGTGCAAAATCTTGCTATATGGTGTAAGGTTGTGCATGCTATATTTGAGATTTGACCACAAAAATGTAAGATGATTTTAGTTTAAAACGCAGTTATAAACTGCTAGGCATTTTATTAATTTTATTTTATGCATTAGAAGTTTTAGATGTGAAGTTAAAGCATTTTCTCCTTAAATATTTTATTTTAAGACTGTGCTCAGGAGGTTATACCCCATTTATTAAGGTCTAACAAAAAATGAATGTCTGAAAACTGATATGCTTTTATTTTTCATCTTTAAGTAAAAATGCAACAGACAAAATTCACGGCATGTATTTTTGTGCCGGATCATCTGCATCTTTAAGCAATGATTTTCTTTCTACGACAAAGTCAGTGAGTGCATGACAGAAAGGAAAAATCCCAACAAAGTTGGGTTGCACCTCGGCTCAGATGTGAATTTGAATCAGTTTTATTCTCTTTTTATAAGACAGCTTTTTATATAACAACCACAGAGAGCTCTGCCCTGAATGTAAACTGAGCTTCACCCATTCACACAAAACACCAGAACAATGTCGGCAACCGAGCGGCGAAAAAAGGAACAAGTAAATATCCCTCAGCAGCTGGTGGAAAAATAAACTAATTAAAAAAAAAAAAAAACTATAAACTTTACATACTCAAAAAAGTGGTTTAACAGGCCTTATCAACAAGGTAATTTGTTTAGCCACTTTAAGTAAAGATCCCATTCCATACTGTACATCAAATACATTTTTAGCTTTTGAGATTTTCTTGTTTGGCGTTCCTGCTGCTGATTTTGACTAAATGCATGAAAATAAAAGCTTGTTTGATCATTTTTGTGAGACTTTATCTCTATCGTTTTACTGCAAATGGGACAAAAAGTGACCTGAGAAAAAAAATGTTAAAACTTTCAATAAAAATAATAACGTTGGCTACATCATCCCCTCCATGGGCTGCCACCTTACAGTGGTGGAGGGGTTTGAGTGTCCCAATGACCCTAGGAGCTATGCTGTCAGGGGCTTTACGCCCCTAGTAGGGTCACCCATGGCAGACAGGTCCTAGGTGAGGGACCAGACAAAGTGCAGCCCAAAAACCCCTTTGATGAGAAAAATAAACGGACCTAATGTTCCCTTGCCCGGACGTGGGTCACCGGGGCCCCACTCTGGAGCCAGGCCTGGAGGTGGGGCACGCGGGCGAGCGCCTGGTGGCCGGGCTTTTACCCATGGAGCTCGGCCAGGCACAGCCCGAAGAGGAGACGTGGGTCCCCCTTCCCATGGGCTCACCACCTGTGGGAGTGGCCAAAGGGGTTGGGTGCAATGTGGGATGGGTGGTGGCCGAGGGTGGGGACCCTGGCGGTCTGATCCTCGGCTACAGAAGCTGGCTATTGGGACGTGGAATGTCACCTCACTGGTGGGGAAGGAGCCTGAGCTGATGTGTGAGGCTGAGAGGTTCCGGCTAGAAATAGTCGGACTCACCTCTACGCATGGCTCTGGAACCAGTTTCCTTGAAAGGGGCTGGATACTCTTCCACTCTGGAGTTGCCCCTGGTGAGAGGCGCCGAGCAGGAGTGGGCATACTTATTGCTCCCCAACTTGGTGCCTGTGTGTTGGGGTTCACCCCGGTAAATGAGAGGGTGGCCTCCCTTCGCCTACGTGTGGGGGGACGGGTTCTGACTGTCGTTTGTGCTTATGCACCAAACGGCAGTTCAGATTATCCACCCTTTCTGGAGTCCTTGAAGGGGGTACTGGAAAGTGCACCTCCTGGGGACTCCCTTGTTCTGCTGGGGGACTTCAATGCTCATGTGGGCAATGACAGTGAGACCTGGAGGGGTGTGGTTGGGAGGAACGGCCCCCCTGATCTGAACCGGAGTTGTGTTCTGTTGTTGGACTTCTGTGCTCGTCATGGATTGTCAATAACGAACACCTTGTTCAGGCATAAGGGTGTCCATATGTGCTCTTGGCACCAGGATACCCTAGGCCGCAGTTCGATGATCGACTTTGACATTGTCTCATCTAATCTGCGGCCGCATGTCTTGGACACTCGGGTGAAGAGAGGGGCGGAGCTGTCCACTGATCACTACCTGGTGGTGAGTTGGCTCCGATGGTGGGGGAGGATGCTGGTCAGACCTGGCAGACCCAAACGTATTGTGAGGGTTTGCTGGGAATGTCTGTCAGAGTCTCCTGTGAGACGGAGTTTTAACTCCCACCTCCGGGAGAACTTCGAACATGTTCCGAGGGAGGTGGGGGTCATTGAGTCTGAGTGGACCATGTTTCGTGCCTCTATTGTCGAGGCGGCTTACCGGAGCTGCGGCCGCAAGGTTGTCGGTGCCTGTCGCGGCGGCAACCCTCGAACCCGATGGTGGACACCGTTGGTGAGGGATGCTGTCAGGCTGAAGAAGGAGTCCTATCGGGCCTTTTTGGCCTGTGGGACCCCGGAAGCAGCTGATGGATACCGGCAGTCCAAGCAACATGCGGCTCGGGTGGTCGCAGAGGCAAAAACTCAGGCATGGGAGGAGTTCGGAGAGGCCATGGAGAATGACTTCCGCACGGCTTCGAGACGATTCTGGCCCACCATCCGGCGTCTCAGGGGGGGAAAGCGGTGCGCCACCAACACTGTTTATAGTGGGAGTGGTGTGCTGCTGACCTCAACTCGGGATGTTGTGGGTCGGTGGGCGGAATACTTTGAAGACCTCCTCAATCCCACCGGCACGTCTTCCACTGAGGAAGTGGAGCCTGGGGACTCTGGATCAGGCCTTCCAATCTCTGGTGCTGAGGTCACAGAGGTGGTTAAAAAGCTCCTCAGTGGCAGGGCCCCAGGGGTGGATGAGATTAGCCAGGAGTTCCTTAAGGCTCTGGATGTTGTAGGGTTGTGTTGGCTTACGCGACTCTGCAATATTGCGTGGACATCGGGGTAAGTTCCCCTGGATTGGCAGACCGGGGTGGTGGTCCCCCTATTCAAAAAGGGGGACCGTAGAGTGTGTTCCAACTACAGGGAATCACGCTCTTAAGCCTCCCTGGTAAGGTCTACTCGGGGGTTCTGGAGAGGAGGGTCCATCGGATAGTCGAACCTCGGATTCAGGAGGAGCAGTGTGGTTTTCGTCCTGGTCGTGGAACACTGGACCAGCTCTACACTCTCAGCAGGGTCCTGGAGGGTGCGTGGGAGTTTGCCCAACCGGTCTACATGTGCTTTGTGGACTTGGAGAAGGCGTTCGACCGCGTCCCTCTGGGAACCTTGTGGGGGGTACTCTGGGAGTATGGGGTACCGGGCCCTTTGATACGGGCTGTTAGGTCCCTGTATGACCGGTGTCAGAGCCTGGTCCGCATCGCCGGCAGTAAGTCGGGCTTGTTCCCGGTGAGAGTTGGACTCCGCCAAGGTTGCCCTTTGTCACCGATTCTGTTCATAACTTTTATGGACAGAATTTCTAGGCGCAGCCAAGGTGTTGAGGGGATCTGTTTTGGTGGCCTTAGGATTGTGTCTCTGCTTTTTGCAGATGATGTGGTCTTATTGGCTTCATCAGATCATGATCTACAGCTTTCGCTGGAGCAGTTCGCAGCCGAATGCGACGCGGCCGGGATGAAGATCAGTTCCTCCAAATCCGAGGACATGGTCTTGAGACGGAAAAGGGTAGAGTGCCCTCTCCGGGTCAGGGAGGAGGTCCTACCCCAAGTGGAGGAGTTTAAGTATCTTGGGGTCTTGTTCACGAATGAGGGAAAAATGGAGCGTGAGATCGATAGGCGGATAGGTGCAGTGTCTGTAGTGAAGCAGGCGCTGTACAGGTCTGTCTTGGTGAAGAGAGAGCTGAGTCAAAAGGCGAAGCTCTCAATTTACTGATCGATCTACGTTCCTACCCTCATCTATGGTCACAAGCTTTGGGTTGTGACCGAAAGAATGAGATCTCGGATACAAGCGGCTGAAATGAGTTTTCTCTGCAGGGTGTCTGGGCTCTCCCTTAGAGATAGGGTGAGAAGCTCGATCATCCGGGAGAGACTCAGAGTAGAGCCGCTGCTTCTCCACGTCGAGAGGAGCCAGTTGAGGTGGCTCGGGCATCTGTTTAGGATGCCTTCTGGATGCCTCCCTGGTGAGGTGTTCTGGTCACATCCCACTGGGAGGAGGCCCAGAGGAAGACCCAGGACACGCTGGAGGGACTATGTTTCTTGGCTGGCCTGGGAACGCCTCGGGATTCCCCCAGAAGAGCTGGCCCAAGTGGCTGGGGAGAGGGAAGTCTGGGCCTCCCTACTTAGGCTGCTACCCCCGCGACCCGACCCAGGATAAGCGGAAGAAAATGGATGGATGGATGGATGGATGGCTACATCATTAAGCGTTTTTCACAGAAGACATTTTGACTTGGAGAAGGGAAAGCACAAATCTGTGCTCCACTTCTGCAGCTGTGCATGCTGTTTCAAAATGCAAATGAGCTGAAGTTCTTCTGTGTCCTTCACTAATACTCAAGTGCTTTGCCTTGAAATAGTTTGATTAGCAGGGCTAGTAATAATTTTTAACATTACCTGCTCATGACAAACATTTAGACCTGAATCTTTTTTTTTTTTTGTCAGTGAGAGAAACTAAAGCAAACAAATTATTTGCCTCATGCACTCCACTGGAAATACTGGCGCCATTTAACCAAAAACGAAAAAGTTTCCTAAACACTCTTGACACTAAACTACCGGTAGCATTACTAAATCTCAAGTTTACAAATGTGCTTTGTTTTTCTTCTAAAATTGAATCATAATTAACTTTTAGTTTGTTTTTGCTTGTTTGTTTTTTTACTTATTTTTTTTTTATTTCTGTTTGACATCTTCATCATCTTGCTTTGATTTTCGTTTTCTGTGAGGGAGGAAACATTTTTATAGATCATCAAGAATTAAAGTGATTTTTCTAAGAATAAACACATTAAATGAAATGATTCCTAGCATGTTCAAAATAAAGGCTTTAAGACCACAATGTTTCTGTGACGACAGCTGCTGGTACATTTTCGAAGTTTAAGGTCCACAGGACTGAAGTCAACCTTCCTGGACATGGCCGCAAGATGGCCGCAAGAGGAAAACTGATGACAAATTGAAGAGAAGGGTAATGAATGGTAACCAAAGAGGTCAAGGGCAAAGTACATCAGTATCAGATCACACCGTCAGTCGCTGTTTGTTTAGCAAAAGTGGATTTAATGGAAGACAATCAAAGAGGACACCAAATCACTAAAAAAGCAAGAGTGGCGTTCGTCAAATGTACAATGAAATCTCAAGACTATCAAGGCATTCTGGAGCAAAATGTGTTTGGTCCCATAACATCATAGATCTTCTAACAGTAATTACCTAAAAACGGCAGGTAAAACCCCCAAGAGTGGCTCTGAGAAAACCACTGGACTGTTCTGAAATGTCCCTGATCTAAATCCTGTTGAACATCTGCAGAAGGAGCTGAAGCATCTGGAGAAGCAACCCTTCAAACCTGTGACAGCTGGAGCAGTTTGTTCATGAGTGGGCCAAAACGTCTGTGGACGAGTGCAGCCGTCTCAGGGAAAGAAATCAGATTGATGTGATCGCAACAAATTCAAAGCTAAGGGTACCATCCTTTCAGCCCACGACAGTTTCTCTAGTTTGTCTTTTAAACAATTCTGCAAACGAAAATTCATTAGCAATTATTGATTTTCATTCATTGATTTTTGTGTTTTTTTTATTTTTATTTATTGTTTTTGTCAGTTTCTAATTATTACAATGACCTTTATGGGGGTTTTCATTTTTAACTCAAAAGGGGACAAACAAATATTTGTGTATCCGTCTTTAATTTAAAGTTTGAAGGCATATGGGACCTCTGAATATTCTCCAGCATGCACCGTAAAACACAAAAACACTTCCTGATGCTGAACTTACAACCAAAACAGAAAAGCTCTCTGCTGTTCTTCAACCTGCCAAATCTTCTCATGTCAGTGACGACGGCTGAGTTTGTTTTGAGCGACGTTAGCCGACGGCGTCGTCGGTTTGTCGGTTCTCTGATTTAAACAGAAATAATTACAGATATTCATGATTACCCATGAGGTGAAGGTTACTGGATTTTGGCTTGATTTATATAGATTGCAGATGATAAATCATTGTGTTCAGTGTTTTGGAGACTGGGTTGTAACCATAGCGAGTCGTATTTTAGCAGCTCTGTGGTGGTTTTACCATAAAAACCCTCCTCTGATCCTCTCTGAGCCTCACCTGCCCAAGACGAACATCACAGCCAGTATGGGCACCAGCTTCAGCTGCTCTTGAGGCAGTAGGGCAGCCATAACTACCAGGTTGAGAACATAAAGGAGTAATTGCTCCAAGGTGGATGTGATGAACAGCTGCTGCAGGGTTTGCCTTCTGGGTAAAGACTCCTGCAGGTCCAAGGAGCCGGAGCAGAACTGGCAGCCAGCGCCCACGAGCATCGCTGTGAGGGACAACAGAGCAATAAGTCAGAACATCTTGAATCTGGGCCGTCTTTTCTGTCCAGCTTGTCTGACTGCAACTTTATTTGCATTTTCTTCATTTGAATACAGAAGCTCCCTGCAGACGGGCACCACATGCAAATCCCCCTCTGTGTGTTTGCACGTGTACTGTTTTTAGTCGTTCAGGAAAGTGACTGAAACAACGGAGACAATTAGTCCACAGCCTGAGAGACAGAGACACGGATGATCTCATTTTGCAGTTTCCATTTAAAACTATGTGAAGGAAATGATGCGTCTCTACAGAGGCCCGGGGAGATGTCTGCTGCTCTGAGGTTTCAGGAGCATGAAATTAAAGAGGACAGAAGAGGGTTTGGTTCGTCTGAACCAAACCCTCTTTAAATCTTTATAATTTATTATCGCCTGCTGCTTTTGCCCACATCTATGTGTGTCTGTCAGCAAAATATCTCATGAAACACCATACAAATTTGGATGAAACAGAACTGGATGTACATCTACATGTGATTAACTGTCAATCCAATTTAAGGTGGCTGCCACAGCTGACTCTAAAACATACACACGACAATGATAAAGTCGGTTTTACAGATAAGAAACTAAAATGTGGTGCGAGACCAGTTCAAAACATATTCTGAGCGCTCATAAATTGCACAAGATGTTTTTTTTTAAATTTTGCTAATAAATATTAGCCTTGTTGACTGTTTCTGCCTGTTAGCGAAGTATTTTTGATTTGAGGCGGTTTCAGTGCAGCTGTTTGGAACATACCGAGCACGACGGGTAGCGCAGCCACCAAACAGCAGCAGAAGGTGAAAACGAGGCGGCTGCTTGTGTCGGGGCAGTCTGGGGGCCTGATGGGGACGTAGAAGTAGAGCAGATAGAGGATTCCGGCTGCACACAGCAGAGAGGCCAGCACCGAGAGGAACGCAGGAACTCTGCCGCTCTGATAGCAGCGACAGCAGCGTCGCCCTCCATCTGAAGCCTCCTCTGAGGCTCCATGAGTCTCTGCCGGGCCCTCGGGGGTCCACACAGCCAGTTCCACGCTCTCTGGTGGCGGGCCTATCAGAGGCCGGCCCTCGTCCACTGTGCTCTCCAGATTGGTAGATTCTGGGCTCCATCTCGGCGTGTCTGTGCCGTTGGGAATGTCGCCCTGAGAGGCCGGGGTTGAGGCGCCGATGCAGTTGTCCGTGTTGGTGTCCAAACTGTGTGCTGTGATGATCGGACTGGAAGGAGTTGGATCGGGTTGGCCCTCCTCTGTCTGATCTGCTTCAGGCTGCTCTGGGAGGTGAATGCTGGGGGGCTGCTGGGGGCACGAAGCACAACCTGTTGAATCAAAACACATCTGAATCTAAAAGAACTGAAAGAAATCAACCACAGACTTAATTTACTTCTTTAGAAAATAGTTAGTCCCAGTTAAGCAGAAATATGCGTCTAACAAGAATAATATGGGGAAATTTGTCTGAAAATTTGATAATTCTACAATAAAAATTAAAACAAGTTGATTCTTAATTATTCTTTAAAACAGAAAAGACGAGCTTTGTTCTCGTCTCTTTTTCAGCCCTGATTCTATCTTGCTCTTTTTAAATCCAGTCTGGATCACGGTCAGCTTAAGCTTCAGATGATTTGTTTCGGTTTCCTCTCAGTCGGTGACAAACAGCAGGAGTAACTCACTCATTGGCAGCTCTGTTGTCGGTGCCGGCTCCAGGGAGCGCTGGGAGCCCGAGACAGAACGGGAGGACGAGTGCAGCTCCTCCACCGAAGACTCGGGACTGTCTGATACTGGCGCCAAGGAGATTTGAGTATCCAGGTCCAGGAAGGGGGAGAAGGACAGCCTGGCCGGGTCGATGTCCTGGAGCTGGTTGATGATGTCACTGATGGACTCCTTCATGGTGTCGAGCTCCTTCACGTTGTGCTGGTTCGTGGCCTGAGGCCCCGAGGAGCTCATAGTCACACAACCTGAGGAACCAACGCAGAGAAGAGGTGCAAACTTGAAATTTTCAGGTGCACTAACGTTCTACATGGAAAGTGGAAATATTTCACCACAAAATCCTGGTGTAACTTTATTTAGACTAATGCTTAAACGATTGCAGGACGGACAAGATGTCGAGGTTCAACTTTTCTTTTAGTTTATTTGACCTATGTTTAACCAGGTTGGTCAGTTGAGAACAAATTCTCATTTACAATGATGACCCGGCCAAGAGGAAGCAAATACAGTTGTGGGAGAACACCAGACGAACAACATACAAACAACTGACACTCAAACATCAAGTTGTACAGACCATGTGAAATGACAACAAACAAAGAGCAAGGACAAGTTTCATGGTGCAAGAGACTGAAGAGGAAACTGCTAAAAGCACGTGCAGCAGTCATCAAGTGATGCTGTCACTGAGTTTTTAAATAATGCAAATGTGACAAAAGGAGTCTTATCACTTGTTAGAGATCGTTCCAACTGTCATCAGCAGAAAACTGAAATGATGAACGACCAAATGAGGTGCGTGCTTTAGGGATAGAGAGGTCAATGTGGCTGCTGGAGCAGAGGGTGTGCATGTTGCTATGGATATTGAGTAATCAACAGAGGTAGGATGGGGTTTTACCAGTTATGGTTTAGGAGAAACCAGTTTGTTTGTCTGTGGGTGTGAAGAGAGGCCCAGTTTACCAGGGAATACTGAATGCAGTGATGAGTGCTGAAGGGAGCTCCGGTGGCAAATCTAATGGCTGTGTGGTAAAGGGTGTCCAGTTTGTGGAGCAGCGCTTTAGAAGAGATTCTGTAAATGACGACACCATAGGTGAACATGGGAAGGATTGTCATTTTTACCAGAAGATGTTTGGTAGATTGAGTCAGTGAGGATTTGTTTCGGAAGAGGAACCTGATTCTGGATTTGACTTTGGAGAGCAGAGAGTTGATGTGAGTTTCGTATGAGAGTGAGGAATCGAGCCATATCCCATAACTGCTGGCAAACTGGACCACGGAGCCATCCAAGGAGGAGATGTTCCGAGGGCAGACAGTTTGAGGGAGGTTTCTGTAAAGATCATGCACTTTGTTTGCAGAGAGTTCAGTTTTAAATGAAGATTAGAAAAAGCAAGCTCAACGTTACTGAAACTAATTTGTAGTGCAGAGAGGGCAGAGTTCAGCGAGATACTGGTGGTAGACATAACAGTGTCATCAGCGTACAGATGTGTGCGAACATGACAGTTGTCCACAGAATTTGTTACATGGTTGATGTATATGCTGAAAAGAGTTGGACTTAGTATGGAGCCTTGGGAAACACCTTTGCTGATGGGTAGTGAGTATGACAGGTGACCCTCCACCCTCACTGATTGCATTTGCCCAGAACCGTAGCTTTTGAACCTATCTATGCAACTCTCTGACAGACAGAGGTCTCAGCCTTCACAGCAAGATGGAGTGGTCTACAGAGTCGAAGGCTTTAGCTAGGTTGATGAAGACAGCAGAACTGTACTCTTTCTTATCAACTGCTCAATGTCTTTCCCAACCTTAAGAGTGGCAGTGATTCAACTGTGCCCTGATCTAAAACTTGACTGTAGAGGGTTGAGAACATTGTGCGTTTCCTGACGATCAATAAGCAGTTTGTTAATTAGCTTTTGAAGGATGTCTGAGCCACATGGCAGGATGGAGATGGGTCTGTAGCAGCTAAAGTCAGCATTATCATCTCCTTTGAACATTGGTATGACTGCAGAGGATTTCCATTTCTGAGGGAACACTCTGGTTTTCAGAAATAGATTTAACAAAAGAAACTGAGAACTTGTTTACTGATTTTTTTAAAAAGCTTTATGTGAAAAATGCTATGCTAAAGAGCCAAACCACACCGTGCGTCCGCCATTTTGAGAGCTGAAAAAAAGTAGAGACAGCCCATGTCACGTCAAGGGGCCTCCCTCCCATTTTTCTTAAAGAGACACGCTGCTCTTCCCTCACTATCCATCCTTCCTTTCAAACTGTCTTATACTGCCATCCAGTGGTCAAAAAAGGTTCTACACTTGAAACAAATTAACCAACATTTCTTCTTAAATTTGACAATAATTACTAATTATTGTCAAATTTCAAACAATATTATCGTTTATTGCAATAATTTCCGAGACAATTAATCACCCAGCAAAATTCTAGAATTGCGCCGCTCCAGGTGGCTGCATGTTGGAGCAGCTCTGTTACTTTCATTCTGAGATTTTGCTTTTGGAAACTTAAATTCCTCTTTTTCTGGATGTAAGTCACATTTTTTGGATGATTGTTTCCTCTGGTATTGGATGCTGTGCAGCTGGAAAGATTTTTACTGAAACTTTTTTAGTTTTGGACATTTGTTATGATGCGTAACCATGGCAACAAGGCAGTTTCTACAACCAGGAGCAGCTGATTAATATCTCAAAAGCTCAAATAATATCTCAACTACAGCCCCAAATCTCAAATGAGTTGAAAAGGATGTTCTGTGGACGCATTCTCATCTACCTGCCAGCTGTGCTCGAGTGCCTGACCACTGAGATCCTGGAACTACACTGTAAAAAAAATTCTGTAGTTTTTACGAAAAAAAACTGGCAGCTGCGGTTGCCATTTTAAATTTGTTAAAAAAACACTAAACATGTAAACAGTTGTACAGAGTTAGCTGTAACTTCAACAGTTTTATGATGTACAATTAACAAGCTATTTTGTAAACCTAAATACATTTTCAATGTACATTATACAATAATTTAATGTAAAAAATACAAATTAAACAGTAAATTCTATAGATTATTTTATGTAGATGTACATTAAAAATGTGTTTGGGTTTACAATATATATTGGAAATTCTACATAGTAAATCTGTTGAAATTACAACCAACTGTAAAACTGTTTACATGTTCATAGTATTTTTTACAGCTTTATTCTGGCAACCACAGCTGCCAGTTTTTTTTCGTAAAAAGTACATTTTTTTAACAGATTTATTCTGATAACCACAGTTGTAAGCTTTTTTTTTGTTGTAAAAATACAGGTTTTTATAAAACATTTTTTAAGCATTTTTATTTAACAAATTAGCATGAACATGTCACTGTTTTACAAACAAAACAAGACTTACCCAAACAAATTTCACATATGTTAGACTCAGCCTTAGTGAAATACAAAAAATAAAACATGTTAGAATGCCTTTCAAATACTAAAATTAAATTAAAACTAAATTAATTAAAACTAAACAAAGTTTTTCTCATCTGTTTATGTAAAAAAAAAAAAGAAAATGTAAAAATAAGAACAGCTTCAAAAAACGTAATGAAACATTTATGTTTTTTACTTAATCATTGTTTCCAAATTTTTGAATTCAACCAAAATACCAGAATAGCCAAACTGTCTGTGAAAACTAACAGACAAAATAACTTCAGCCACATTTACAGCTGCCCTCTGTTGCTTGTGTTTCAAGTTATAAACAGTGCCACACACAACTGCCCTGTGTTCATATTTTAACAATACAAAACCTTTAACCTTTTAAAGGCTTTTCTAACAAAATCAAAAGATCTATACACTGATCTATAGTACCGGAATGTAAAAAAAAAAAAAAAAAAAAAAAAAAAAAAA